AGCTCGTCAACATCCCCAGCATCGTTTTCAACATCCCCCGCATGTCCGACCAACATCCCTAGCATCACCAACAAATCGTGGGTAACAAAATCCAAAAATGCAGCTGGCGGGTTGACGGGGTCAAAACAATGATGCTTCAAACAGGAGGGCATTTCAATCCCAGCAAAAAAAATACAAAAAAACAATTAAGAAAAACAGAGCGGGGTAGTGATGATTCGAACAGGGGTGCAATTAAATCTCTGCAAGAAAGGGTGTGATAGCATTTAAAAGGCAGCGGGAGGGTTGGCGGGGGTGGCTTCCCCTATGATGTTCGAAGAAATGCATACGTAGAGACATACACGGACTACACAGATTACCTAAAATGTCGTATTTTGCAGCATTTTCTCGCGAAATTGGATGCTCGAAAAAGTGATGATTCAAACAGGGGTGCAATTCAATCTCTGCCGGGCCAGTAAAGTGTCGTATTTTACAGCATGTTCTCGCGAAATATACCCGCATGTCCCACCAACATCCCTAGCATCACCAACAAATCGTGTGACGGGGTCAAAGAAATGATGATTCAAGTAGGAGGCCATGTCAATCCCTGTAAAAAATACATAAAAAGTAGCGGGGGGGTTGGGGGGGGGGCGGCAGCCCCCCCCACGATGTTGTTTGCAGAAGTGATGATTTGAATAGGGGTGCAATTAAATCTCTGCAAAAAGTCTAAAAAGTAGCGGGGGGGTTGGGGGGGGCGGCAGCCCCCCCCCATGATGTTCGAAGAATTGATGATTCAACTAGGCGTGCAATTAATTAAATCTCTGTCGAAAATCTAAACGTAGCGGGGGGGGGGGTTGGGGGGGGGCGGCAGCCCCCCCATGAGGTCGGAAGAAGTGGTGATTCAAGTAGGGGTGCAATGATTCAAGAAAGGGTGTGATAGAATTTACAAGGCAGCGGGAGGGTTGGCGGGGGTGGCTTCCCCTATGATATTCGAAGAAATGCATACATACAGACATACACGGACTACACAGATTACCTAAAATGTCGTATTTTGCAGCATTTTCTCGCGAAATTGGATGCTCGAAAAAGTGATTTGATTCAAACAGGTTTGCAATTCATATCTTCGTCTTGGCCAGAAAATTACGTATTTTTACAGCATGTTCTCGCGAAATATACCCCGCATGTCCCACCAACATCATAGCATCACCCACAAAATCGTTTTTTGTGACGGGGTCCAAAGAAATGATGATCAAGTAGGAGGCCTGTCCAATGCTGGTAAAAAAATTATAATCAAGTTGCGGGGGGGTTGGGGGGGGGGGCAGCCCCCCCCACGATTGATGTTTGCAGAACGTGATTGATTTTGAATAAGTGTGTTATTGAATATACACGGACTACACAGATTACCTAAAATGTCGTATTTTGCAGCATTTTCTCGCGAAATTGGACGCTCGAAAAAGTGATAATTCAAACAGGGGTGCAATTCAACAATTTTTACTCCTTTCGCTTCTCCCTTTTTACAGCATGTTCTCGCGAAATATACCCCGCATGTCCCACCAACATCCCTAGCATCACCCACAAATCGTGTGACGGGGTCAAAGAAATGATGATTCAAGTAGGAGGGCATGTCAATGCCTGTAAAAAAATATAAAACTAGCGGGGGGGTTGGGGGGGCTGGGGGGGTTGGTCGGGGCGGCAGCACCCCCACGATGTTCGAAAAGAAGTGATGTTTTGAATAGGGGTTTGCAATTAAATCTTTGCAAAAAGTCTAAAATTGCCGGGGGGGTTGGGGGGGCGGCAGCCCCCCCCCCATGAGTTCGAAGTATTGGATGATTCAACTAGGCGTTGCATATTAATTAAATTCTTGTCGAAATCTAACGTTGGGGGGGGGGGGGGGGTTTTTGGTTGGGGGGGGGGGGGGGCCAGCCCCCATTTGAGGGTCGGAAGAAGTGGTGATTCAAGTAGGGGTGCAATGATTCAAGAAAGGGTGTGATAGAATTTACAAGGCAGCGGGAGGGTTGGCGGGGGTGGCTTCCCCTATGATGTTCGAAGAAATGCATACAAACAGACATACACGGACTACACAGATTACCTAAAATGTCGTATTTTGCAGCATTTTCTCGCGAAATTGGATGCTCGAAAAAGTGATGATTCAAACAGGGGTGCAATTCAATCTCTGCCGGGCCAGTAAAGTGTCGTATTTTACAGCATGTTCTCGCGAAATATACCCCGCATGTCCCACCAACATCCCTAGCATCACCCACAAATCGTGTGACGGGGTCAAAGAAATGATGATTCAAGTAGGAGGGCATGTCAATCCCTGTAAAAAATATAAAAAGTAGCGGGGGGGTTGGGGGCTGCCGCCCACGATGTTGTTTGCAGAAGTGATGATTTGAAGAGGGGTGCAATTAAATCTCTGCAAAAAGTCTAAAAAGTAGCGGGGGGGTTGGGGGGGGGCGG